AGTGACAAAATTCAATTATCAAAATGAACCAACATGTGGAACTGGATTTGTTGAATTAGGTTAACTACAGGGTTGCGATGAGGAATACAATAAAATGTACTAAATTGCGACGTGAAATTGTAATAGATGACAGTGAATAGTAATAGATTGAAAAATGACGAAAAAGAAAAAATATATAGTTATGCGCATGCGCAGTAGCAAAGTGGTTAATGATCATGCATTAGGTGAAATTTCCATTGATCCACTGAAACCACCGACATAAATTACTATAACTAGATCGCTAATGCCATAAGATCAAAGCTCATTAATTCATGAGATCTCTATAATGAGATCGAACTTGGTTCTTGGTTCAATATGGAGCGTGCGCAATATGGACCTGTCATTATATCCTACTCACTCTTACTTATGTTTGCGAATACCATATCAAACACCAAGAGACGACTCGCATGACTCCATATGTCATGAACGACAGTTTGAGAATTCCTGCGCATTGAGCAGAAACGTTTCCAGGCGAGGAATTTAAACAAGATTTTCGGTTTGCTGGGATATGACTTATAGTCTAGTAATTATGTCAGTTGTGCTTGTGACGTCAGAAGCCCGCAAATAAACCTCTTATCCGCTCCGTCGGCCGTCATCTCGAGCGCTACCTCATTGGCGGTAGTCAAGGTCATCATCTAACGTTGCGATGACATGAAAACTACAGGATAACATTCCTAACTCCGGGCATAGCCACCTGACTCCTGGCTTAGATTGTAATAAGTTACACATGTTTTTTATGTCATCGCAACATCAGACGTCAGGGTAATAGCAATCGAAACCCTGGTTAAATAATCACAAATGACAATCGACAAATGACAATTGATGACAATGACGCTGAGGACAAAACACAACATTAGAATGACACTTGTCAAGACGTCATAACGGGTGTTGGTCATTATTAAAAAATGTCATGTGCTGGAGTTGTGACTGGAAGTTTTTTCACCCCTCCTGATTTATATCACCTTCACTGTGAGTTATGGATCACCTACGTTGGTTAATATAAATAAATTGGGCTCAATCAACTTATTTTGACTTGTACGACTGGTGTGAATACAATGATTATCTCAAGACTAATTTTGGAAATCTGGACGGATTGTTTTTTCATGATCACAAAATGTTATAGAATGTGTTTGGGAGACACTGCGTATTTACGTCTGCATGATAATCCTCTAGGAACCTTTTCTGGTTCCTCGGGCAATTAAAAACAAGAGATCATCACGGGTCGCAAAGTCGCCTTTATGAATTACGGACTACAAAGGAACTCATTAAAAACGACAACTTTAGGAAAAAATAAATCGGCCCTCACAATCTCGCCATTCTCATTTATCAGCCATCAAAAAAGATGGGATTAATTAAAAACTCCTCGTCGTGAAGCCCAAATTTTTTCATAGTGGTCACAATTTCCATCTGAAATATCAAGTCTTTATCAATTGTTGTAGATTGATTAATTTCATGAAAACAAGTACGATTTTTATTCCAAGGTTGGGTAATCTGAAATGAATACCTCAGAACTATACCTAGAACAAAAATCTTTCCTGCGTGACCTCAATTTAATCTACCAATGAAGACATTGAAGTGAGACAAAATTAAATTTTTCTGCACTGAAAATTTTCTAGGTGAACTATGAATAGTTAGTGAATTGGACGTCCTGATTCCGAATCCGAAGTGATTTTCAACCTATTTTGACACCTAATATTATTTTCCAGAAATTGGGATGGTTCCATGGCTGTGGGCGAGCAGTGTATATCACTGAAGATAACCCCACTCAGTCATAGAGTTAGAGTTGAAAAGGAATATTCTCAGATGAATTATGGACATACAAAAATGGATATATATTAATATGAAGCAATACATTGAGAATTCGCATTCTCTATGTGATGAGAATATCTACTCTTTTCCAGTTTATTCAATAGAAAACAACTACTTTCCTGGCTGTATGCCACGACGAACATTGAATTATATCTATTGAACACACACGATAAGAGTTTGAAAATAAAATATAAAAACTTCTGAAATTGAGAATTTGCATTCTCCTTCAGACAAAAATATGTATATGCACACATCATTCTGAATATTCAACAGAAAACAACTACTTTCCTGGCTATTTGCCACGTCGAACATTGAATTATATCTGATGAACAAAAAGGAGAACATGAAAAATAAAAAATAAAATCCTCCGACATTGAGATTGACCTTCTTCAAACCGGATGAATAATATGATGTATAATGATATAGAAATATAACTTACCAATATATTCAGCATTGAAATGAAAATTGGAATGTATAGGAGAAGTATACTGGCATAAACTCTGATCTTGATGAGCTTGAAAACTTCAAAAAATAATCATTCATATCAGTGATATGGGAAATATTATCTCTCACACACAGGTTATATGACTTTATTGCAATGAAACCATTTCGGATTTCTGAATCCTCATCAGTAACAATGATGTCCACTTATTCTCACAGCCATTCTTCATCATATACACAATTTTCATATGTCTATAATACAACTAAAACCGAGTAAAACTATAACAAAATGACATCTGAGAAATTTGTTGACATTCTATTCCTGTCATTTGGACGTTTTTGCTTTTGGGTGTATGATAAATTGACATTCATCATACAGGGCGTGGAAAGGAATTCTGAATTGAGACTCTATCACGAATCTGCGATTAGAGGTTTATAAAAATCACAAGTTTCCATCGTTCAAGTTTGAAGAACATTGAGAATTCGCATTCTCTATGTGATGAGAATATCTACTCTCTTTCAGTTTATTCAATAGTAGTTGTTTTCTAATAAAAATATTGTTCCTAACTCATGCGCATCGCACTCGACTGCTTGCCCGGAGTCCGTTTCGCGTCGTTCGGGTCAACGGCATTCGCGTGCGCGAAAGTATCACTTTCTGCACTTGTTAGGAGAATGACTATACATATGAAATGGTACCCACACCTACAGAACACCATAATTTTAGTTTCTTGAGTGTTGACTGTCAACTGTTGTGAATAAAACATGTGCCATATTGTACTCAATTCCTATAATAACGCATCTTGCGTTTAATTTCCTCATTCAAAACCCTAATCAGATCTTCCTTCGTTATTTCGTTATTTTCCCTGTTTCGATTCACATAACACCGTTTAGTGCCCCATTAACACACAGTCGAGCATACTGAAAATGTCGGAAATAAATTACTTCCATGAACCTATCTGGCAAGTATATGCGATTCTTTTTACGTTTCAACTCGTAACTCGTATGGCGTGCTACGATCCTAGATTTTCCGCAACATTATATACTCATACTCGTTTCATAATTAGTTTGGATGGTTTATTTATATGGAAAGCGATAGGAGGTGCTGAAATATTCATTTCGTTCATGCGATAGAGCCGTTTTTACTGGAATTTTTCGAGGATCTGTTTATATAATTGTAATTGGGTCTCAACACCAACAAAATTTGTGGTTCCGACGGAATCCCACCGGTTTTTCTCAAGAAATGTTCTTCTGAACTAACGCCTGTTCTCTGCAAGTTGTTCAACAACTCTTACAAATTGGGGATATTTCCGTCTAACTGGAAAATTGCAAGAGTACAACCAGTTCCTAAAAATGGCAAAAAGACCCTAGCTAGCAACTACAGACCGATTGCACTGCTATCTATTATTTCAAAGATCATGGAGAAAGCTATCAACATCGAGCTCATGAAGTACCTGGAACATTCAGGTATTATCAACGATAGGCAATATGGCTTCCGTCATCAGAGATCAACTGGTGACCTGCTCGCTTACGTCTCACATATATGGCAGCAATCTATTGAAAAATATGGTGAAACCTTAGCCGTGGCACTTGATATCTCCAAGGCATTCGATTGAGTCTGGCACCACGGACTCCTCGCCAAGCTTACATGCATGGCTTGCCTCCCCAGCTATGTTCTCTGCTAGCTAGTTTTCTCTCAAACAGGTCTCTGCATGTAGTAGTCGACGTAGTTTCATTTGACTCTCTTATCATAAATGCTGGTGTTCCGTTAGGATCAATTCTAGTACCAACACTATTTCTACTCCATATCAACGATTTGTTGAAAGCAACTTCATGTCCAGTACACAGCTTCGCGGATGATAATACTCTCCATACTGCCTTCTCTTCCAGGTCTCCAATTCCAGCCAGGCAAATCAGAAACGAACGAGGGAGAAATGTTGACAACATAAATATGGACTGGCGAAAATTCTTGAATGGGGATCCCATTACTTGGTAGATTTCAATGCAAACAAAACACAAGCATGCCTCTTCTCTAGAAAAGCCGATCTCACTCATATGAGAACAGTATTCCAGGACAGGTCGGATCTGTGCCTAATAGATCATAAGCAGCTGACTGGAAGTGATATAGCTCCTGGCCCGAAACAGAAAACCAAGTTTTTGAGATACACTTTCAGCAATTGATCTCACGTGATTTTCCCAAGAAAGGTTACTGCTGATAGTGATACCAAGCATCGAAATAGATGTCTTCAAAGGTATGGTTACTCCTGACAAGCTTATGTTGGGCACAGTGAGATCGGCTTTTCTAGAGAAAAGGCATGCTCGTGTTTTGTTTGCATTGAAATCTACCAAGTTATTGAATCCCCATTCGAGAATTGTTGCCAAGTCCATATTTATGTTGTCAATATTTCTTCCTCATTCGTTTCTGATTTGCCTGGCTGGTATTGGAGCCTAGGAAGAGAAGGCGGTATGGAGGGTACTATCATCCGCGAAGCTGTGTACTGGACATGAAGTTGCTTCCAACAAATCATTGATATGGAGTAGAAATAGTGTTGGTGCTAGATGTGATCCTTGCGGAACACCAGCATTTATGATAAGAGGGTCAGATGAATCTCCTTCGACCACTACGTATCCTATATCTTCAGCCATCACTTAGATTACACCCTGTATATACCTACAGTGATTTTGGAAGTTGGTTAAAAATCTTCGAAACTCACCCTTTGCGGAACTCCCCTGGACGCTGCCCTCGCATGTCGGGGAGAACTTGCACCCCCATGTTTCTCTTTGCGATGGGAGGTCTTGAGACCACGTAGAAATCGGGAAAAAGTCGTTCGTTTTTTGCCTCCCGTATTCGTATAAGTCTGGTCGGCTGAAAAAAAAAACGAAAGAATGCAAAATGTCCATCATACCAGTTATTTAGGAAAGTCATTGTGTCTTTGCATGAATTCAGGTTTTCTCAATACAGTGATCAATGCACAGTCTCGCAAACTTTGCTATCGCTCGGCTTCGCTAAACGCTCCTCCTCGCAAATGCAAAATTCGCTTGTCAAACAAAGTGTCACTTTTGATCCTAATAATAGTAGATTGTTTTATTAGGATCAAATGTGACACTTTGTTTGACAAGCGAATTTTGCATTTGCGAGTCGAACAAAGTCACTTTTGATCCGAATGAAACATGCTATTTTTTTTGCAACCGAAACAATCAACTCAAATAAACATGTGAAGTAACCACCAATGCCGTGCCATATGTATGCAATGCAACAAATACACGGAAAAAAAGGAATTGTTGAATCAAGCAACATTCAATTGAATGGAGCAAATAAAAGTGTTATATATGCACGACAAAATATAATCTTGAAATGAGTAAATCTATATCTTGTTTCAGAGCAAATTTGGAGTTTGAATCAAGTAAATATGTCTTGCATGAACTCTGGATCTTCTTCAATCAAGCACATCCATGAATGGTTTTGAAGAGATATTGAATTGGCTTAAACAATCATTTTGTTTGATTCAAAATAATAAGATATTGCTTCAATCAAATATTTAGTTGATTCAACGAAATATTTGGTTGATTCAAAGAAATGTTTGGTTGATTCAATGAAATATTTGTTCAATTCAATGAAATATTTGTTCGATTCAATGAAATATTTGTTTAATTCAATGAAATATTTGTTTGATTCAATGAAATATTTTGTTGATTCAAGAGAAACTATATATCCATTCGACAAATTGTCTTGTTGAACCAAATTCAATATTCGGGAATTTTCTGAAATTTCACATCAATAGAATAAACAAAACTAGGAAACAAGTCGACTCCTAGCATAGATCATCAGTCTTTACTTCTCTTCAGCTGATGGAAAACTATTTAGGATTGCTAATCATCCAAAGTTCGATTTGTCTATAGTTGATATTTCAAACACGAAGAATCAGGCTTCACGTATATAATGAATTCGAGGCAGGCATAGACGAGAGGCGAAATGATCGCCATCTAGAGGCGAAAATTCAAGTTGATGTAGAATGAACAAAATATTTCATTGACATTAGATATTTCGTTGCTCTATTCAAGCAAATGATCCCTTCGAAACAAGTTCATTGCTACATCGGAATAAGAAAACTTGTATGTTGTTCCAAAGATATATTCCCATCAAAATGATCATTATTTGATCAAATCAACGAAATGTTTATAATTGAATCAACATCGACATTATTTTGGATCAACATAATTTGTTTTTGATAAAACCATATATTTTGTTGATGGAATTGATATTATACTGTTGATTCAATTAGACTACATTCTTGATTTGAACAAGCTGCTTCCATGAAATAATCATGTATCTGGTTGATTCAACAAAAAATTGCTTAGTCCAACAAAAATAATTTAAGCATAAATAATTTGTTGATGCAACAAATCCTTTTTTTCCGTGTATTGGCAAATAATCCATGTGGTGAGAAAATTCTACCTGCATTAACAGCAGGTTAGGATTTCTAGGATGTTCGAATTGTAGTTTCAATATAAAAACAAGCACAGAGTGACATATTTGTGTATGGACCAGGTGCTCTAATGGCAAATACCGCGCCAGTGCCAGCTATAGGAACAAGACGTGGAAAATGTTAGGTTAGTGAGCATATCAACATAATCAACAATGATAATAGTGATTATTTATTCCTCTCCATACTACACTGTGTTTGACTTGATGATCAAATGGAGCTGAACAATATCGTTGTTTGAGACAAAAAAACTATTGCTTGCCGTGATTATTCAAAAAAAAGTTATCCATCCCGAGAATAACGAATGAAATACAGATCAAGCAAGTATTCGAATCTTGAAGGCTTCCCTGATCAAAACAAAAATACTCAACTGAGATGTTTAAAATTCCAATACTAAACTATAGTAAGGTGTATTTATATCTCCAGCATGGGTATGAAATGCCAAATCTGCTGAAAAAGGAAACAAATCAGGTATGCGTCTCAACCCAAATAACCAACCGTCACAATGTTGTTTATTCTTGATGACGTCCAGTACATCCTTTCAAGTTCCTAGGAGCTAAAGTTCAACTTCAGCTCCTAGGAACTAAAATTCAACTTTATCTCCTAGGAACTAAATATGTTGCCTAGCAACATACCTATTTTTGTGTCAGTAATAGAAACGTCAATTTAAGAGCTAATTTTGGTATCAAAATGGACGACTTTTGTGTTGGTTGCAGAAAAAATAATCTATTATTGTACAGATTTTTCCACTTGAAAACAAGTGTATGAAGGTAGTACGAATGATTTATGTATAGAAAATGTTGTGTGTCTATACTTCCATCAATATTAACAATGCCATGTTGATTAACAGGGCAATTGCGATGTCATAATAAAATTAAATTTCAATCAACAAAAACACATCGATCACTACGGAATACCTAATGGAACTTTATGTGATCGAAAATCGATCCATCGGAATTTGACGACGAATAAAACAAATTTGATTGCCGTAATAGGAAAGTTTCGGAATTAAAAGTTGAGCAGCTTTATCTCAATTATATCGGCTATATTGGAAATTTCTTTCGCGCAACTTTAATAGCAGTTAATTAATTTGCAGATATCCAATTAAACTGTTAATTTCGGTGCTGCCCGGAATTTCCAGATGAAACTTTTTTAGATATTTCGTTCACAATCAATCTTATTCTGCATTGACTGATGACAAAGCGCCCTCAGCTATCAATGTCTAGCTCCAAGTTTTTTCAAATGAAGAACAAAATAACACTAAGTCGGTCGTACTTTTTGTGACTAGTTTCGGCTCAAACAGCCATCTTCAGACACAATACACAGTACCTGTAATAGTATATTACATAACAAGAGTTGTAAAATGCATATTACGCACGAAGTGGAGAGAGTTACACACGATGCCGCATAGCGGCGAGTGTGTAACTCCACAAGTGCGCAATTGCTTTACAACTCGAGAATTGTACTATACTTTTTCTACGACTACACTATATTTTCTTCCGGATAGTGCAGATATTGTATTAAGGCACAAATAACGAATACCAATATACCTAAAACGTTCCCGTCACTAAGCCAGCTGCATGAAAAGTTACAAATCACAATCCTTGTGTTTGTTTATTGATACATTGCATACCGAGACATTTTTCTCAATTCGAACTGAAATGGAATCGTTTCTCATATCTAAACAGCTTTATTAATAGGTAGCCAAAAACACATTGTATGAAAATATAAAATCAACATTCATAATGGTTATTTATTTGTAACAGTGCAGCACGAGTGATTCTGTATTCGTTATTGAAAAAAATAAAAAAAAGTTCTCCAGCTGCGCCCTGAACCACCGACCCTTTGGCTCGGAGCCAGCGCTTCAAACAACTGAGCTATCACCATTCCTGCGTATTAGTACATATTTTATAAATATAATTTCAAAGTTGGAGCTTTCTTAATTATTCCTGTTATTTAAAGAAAAAGGAATTCATCAATTCAATGTTGAGTATAAAATATGTATGTTATTTGAAAAATTACCTTCAACAGGAGCATTCCGCAGAAAGTAATTGATCTGTTCAGCATTAAGTATTTTTGATTTTTTACTTCGGAATCCATCCTTCCCTTTTGAGGAAATGGGATATGTTGCTATATTAATATTGTGATTGATATTTAGTGTTGATCGTAACATGGAATATATCGACCAGAATGATGATGATTCCATGAAATTTGGTAATTCTTGAAAATATTCTAAAAGGATATTTTCCGAAAATGACACGCTATAATTTCTAATTCTTCAGTCCAGGAATTTTTTATGTGCTATTTCGTATCATTTACGAGACTTAGCGGGTGGCAACTCATTTTTTACCATTCTAGCTTCTTCCAACATTTCTGGTGGTGTAGAAATAATCTGCTCATTGTCATCGCTTGACATCATTTTTTTGAACTGAAATTGTGGATTCTCAATAGAAAATGATCATATTTTCAAAAAATATAACTCTCCTGATGCTTTCGGTTTCGGTGGATTGCTGAATTGATTGATAAAAAGATAAGTACCTACGTACCTACCCACCTAGCTAGTGACATTAATTGTTATTGACACATCGCCTATAGCCTAAGCAACAAAACAAAGTCATCTATCAACATACCTATGAAAACCGTGCGATCGCTCTCTTTACGCACACGTGTGTAAGGAGAAGCTTACTGCCATTGTTTTGTGTACAATATCCATCACTTACATTAGTAGTCGTAGGAAAAGATATTTAGTTTATAAGGATAATAAGATATTGAGAAACAAACATACCTATAAGGCCACGTGGAAATCACATAACAAAATAAAATTAAAAATATGAAAGAGCCGAGGTCATTTGTCCAAAAATCAGTCCGGTAAAGAAATGTTAAACTTTTTGAACCGACTGAACAGCCAAAAGAACCCAACTATCATTAGTTTTAACATTGGCACGAACTTGGGAACATTAATAATTAATTCACTCAAAGGAGTTTCATCTTCAAATAGCCATATTTATGGAAGACAAAAACCAAGGAGAAGACGAAGCGTCAAGCATAGCAACAGACGTTGACAGAATACAAGACAAATGACAGTGACAAATAATACAAACCAAATGACATGTGAAATATAAGAGTAAATTTTGAACATTATGAGTTATGATACTATTACAAATAATTTCAGAAAATTGAATTAATTACAAAGTCCATTATGCCTGAAAACCTAGAGGAGAAGTACGTGGTGAGGTTGAATAAGATAAATAATCCAAGAAGAAAAGAAGAAATGTCAAGGTGTGTGAATATAATCGAACCCAGAAGAAGATCTCAGGAAGGTGAACAGAACAGGGCTGGCTTAAGTAAAAACAAGAATTTAAGTGTGCGAAAAATGTGGTTT